CTCTAATATTATTTCGCCATTCGCTACATCGAAAGCTGACTTTAGGTCAATAAAAGCTGCTTGTGTCCCATCCTGGGAGTTTACAAAATATTCAGCAAAGCATGTTTGTGTGCTACACTTGGGCATGTACCCATATAGGTTAGGGACCAGTTTTTCTTTGACCTGAAACATGACACGATTGAGAACAATTCTCTCCAAGACTTTACACATGCAAGATGTAAGGAAAATGGGTCTGAATTTTTGAGAGTTAGGTTTAGGAATTGGTATTATGAGACTTTGTGTCCATTTCTTTGACAAGATACCTTGTGAGAGACTCATTTGATAGAGGTCAAGCAGAGGGTGGCTAGGGATATCATTCAGTAAGCTCAAGGTGTTATAAGTTATGCCATCCTTACCAGGGGCAGTTTGTTCAGGTTTTCCTAATGCTGATATTAATTCAAAAGGGGGTTATAGCAAACTGATCTGTTAAATCTGGCGAGGAGCGTGCTATTTCAATATTAAAGTTTCTGTTAATGTTGGTATGATTTAAATGCTGCTGTGCATGTATACAATAGGCAAAGATTGGGGTCCTCTAGGTATTACTTAATTACTAGTTGAATACTGAAATGCATGCTAAATTATGCGAGATATGATGAAGGCACAAACAAAAATTTACACGCAGCGAACTTTCAGTGTTTTGATGGCTGTTGGTTTTGAATCTCCATGACATTTATATTGTTTCTTGTGCTAAAGTCATGATCGAGTTCTGGTGCATGCATCAGTGACTGTGCTGTCCGGGTTCAGTATAATGACTGAATTTTGGTCTTTGTTCCAAAAAAAAGTAGAGATGAGAATTATTGCAGACGAGTTGCTGGATTGAAGCCTTCATAGTGATTTGTCTTCTGAAGCAAGGAAATATTTTGGGCCTGTGTTGGTCTCGAAATATGTTGGCGGAGCAATATTTGTAACAGTGTAAACTGTTATCAGATTGGATTTTAGTATTAAGTGCACTAGTGTCGAGGCTCCTCAGAGAGTGTACCACTCTGGCAGACCGTCTGGGAAGCGGCTGTTTGTACTATAGTCGGTGTTCGGTGCAGGTGAATGTGAATGACGATAGGTTAAAAGGGAAGCGTATTTGTGCTCCTAGTCTCTCTCGTTTGCCACGTAACCCGTATTCCTCGAGGTAGCAGACACCACCTGTTGTTGAATTCTTCTATCAGTGAGGTTTCCATCGGACCGGCGAGTACTTTAGAAAAAAAAAAAAAAAAATTTGAGTATCCATTGTCATGACGCATTCATCAGAGGCGACTTGCCAGCTTCCGACTTGGTCCTCTTGTGGCTGGAAGTGTTGCTGATTACTTGGTCATCTTGTGGTTGATCACTTGGTCCTCTTGTGGCTGACCACTTGGTCCTCTTGTGGCTGATCACTTGGTCCTCCTGTGCCTGATCACTTGGTCCTCTTGTGGCTGATCACTTGGTCCTCTTGTGCCTGATCACTTGGTCCTCTTGTGGCTGGTCACTTGGTCCTCTTGTGGCTGATCACTTGGTCCTCTTGTGCCTGATCACTTGGTCCTCTTGTGGCTGGTCACTTGGTCCTCTTGTGCCTGATCACTTGGTCCTCTTGTGGCTGGTCACTTGGTCCTCTTGTGGCTGATCACTTGGTCCTCTTGTGCCTGATCACTTGGTCCCCTTGTGGCTGGTCACTTGGTCCCCTTGTGGCTGGTCACTTGGTCCTCTTGTGGCTGATCACTTGGTCCTCTTGTGGCTGGAAGTGTAGGGTGATCACTTCGTCCTCTTGTGGTTGGAAGTGTGGCTGATCACTTCGTCCTCTTGTAGCTGAAAGTGTGGCTGGTCACTTGGTCCTCTTGTGGCTGATCACTTGGTCCTCTTGTGCCTGATCACTTGGTCCCCTTGTGGCTGGTCACTTGGTCCTCTTGTGGCTGATCACTTGGTCCTCTTGTGGTTGGAAGTGTAGGGTGATCACTTCGTCCTCTTGTGGTTGGAAGTGTGGCTGATCACTTTGTCCTCTTGTAGCTGAAAGTGTGGCTGATCACTTGGTCCTCTTGTGGCTGATCACTTGGTCCTCTTGTGACTGATCACTTGGTCCTCTTGTGGCTGATCACTTGGTTCTCTCGTGGCTGATCACTTGGTCCTCTTGTGGCTAATCACTTGGTCCTCTTGTCGCTGATCACTTCGTTCTCTTGTGGCTAGAAGTGTGGCTGATCACTTGGTTCTCTTGTGGCTGGAAGTGTGGCTGATCACTTGGTTTTCTTGTGGCTGGAAGTGTGGCTGACCACTTGGTCCTCGTGTGGCTGGAAGTGTGGCTGACCACTTGGTCCTCGTGTGGCTGGAAGTGTGGCTGACCACTTGGTCCTCGTGTGGCTGGAAGTGTGGCTGACCACTTGGTCCTCGTGTGGCTGGAAGTGTGGCTGACCACTTGGTTCTCTTGTGGCTGACCACTTGGTCCTCGTGTGGCTGGAAGTGTGGCTGACCACTTGGTCCTCGTGTGGCTGGAAGTGTGGCTGACCACTTGGTCCTCGTGTGGCTGGTAGTGTGGCTGACCACTTGGTCCTCGTGTGGCTGGAAGTGTGGCTGATCACTTGGTCCTCGTGTGGCTGGAAGTGTGGCTGACCACTTGGTCCTCGTGTGGCTGGATGTGTGGCTGACCACTTGGTCCTCGTGTGGCTGGATGTGTGGCTGACCACTTGGTCCTCGTGTGGCTGGATGTGTGGCTGACCACTTGGTCCTCGTGTGGCTAGATGTGTGGCTGACCACTTGGTCCTCGTGTGGCTGGTAGTGTGGCTGACCACTTGGTCCTCGTGTGGCTGGAAGTGTGGCTGACCACTTGGTCCTCGTGTGGCTGGATGTGTGGCTGACCACTTGGTCCTCGTGTGGCTGGATGTGTGGCTGACCACTTGGTCCTCGTGTGGCTGGAAGTGTGGCTGACCACTTGGTCCTCGTGTGGCTGGATGAGTGGCTGACCACTTGGTCCTCGTGTGGCTGGATGTGTGGCTGACCACTTGGTCCTCGTGTGGCTGGACTCGTGTGGCTAGATGTGTGGCTGACCACTTGGTCCTCGTGTGGCTGGTAGTGTGGCTGACCACTTGGTCCTCGTGTGGCTGGAAGTGTGGCTGACCACTTGGTCCTCGTGTGGCTGGATGTGTGGCTGACCACTTGGTCCTCGTGTGGCTGGATGTGTGGCTGACCACTTGGTCCTCGTGTGGCTGGAAGTGTGGCTGACCACTTGGTCCTCGTGTGGCTGGAAGTGTGGCTGACCACTTGGTCCTCGTGTGGCTGGAAGTGTGGCTGATCACTTGGTTCTCTTGTGGCTGACCACTTAGTCCTCGTGTGGCTGGAAGTGTGGCTGACCACTTGGTTCTCTTGTGGCTGACCACTTGGTCCTCGTGTGGCTGGAAGTGTGGCTGACCACTTGGTCCTCGTGTGGCTGGTAGTGTGGCTGATCACTTGGTCCTCGTGTGGCTGACCACTGTATGCCGTCTCCGGTTTTGGTAGTACTTATAGTAACGACGAGGACCATACTATATATACCGACGTACAGCGAAATTAGAACGTAGAAATTTGAACAATTGAGTTGGACAAACCGGAAAACTATTTTTACTTGTGTTGCTTTGACAAACTAATCTAACCTAACCTAAACTAACCTGTTGCGAGTATTTTTAATATTAATATTAAATACTTTAGTATTTTTTTAGTAGTTTTAGTATTTAGTAATACCCATGTCGAAAAGCAGAAGTGCAACAGGTATTCTAAGAGAGAACTCTATCAACATCAGAGGCCCGGGACTGTTCAACACGCTTCCACTACACATAAGGGGAATAACTGGCCGACCCCTCACAGTGCTCAAGAGAGAACTTGATAAAACCTCCAAAGGATACCTGATCAACCAGGCTGTGACTCAAACGTCAGGCTGCCAGCAGCCGCGTCCAACAGCCAAGTTTATCAGTCCAGCAACGAGGTGGCCTGGTTGAGGACCGGGCCGCGGGGACGCTAAGCCCCGAAATGATCTCAAGGTAACCTCAAGGTAACCTCACTAGGCCTAATATAGGATATCTGAGGCCAAATATAGTACATATGTGTGTTATACTAGGCATAGGAATATTTAAGTTTGTGTTTCAGCTTCATTTATTAAAATAAAATCCTAACTAGTTAGAGCAAATCTGCTATCTAAAAGCTAAGAACGTACGAATTCTGACTATTGATGATCGTCGCAACAGGTACTATCTAAACAGGAGGACGAGTTACTCACACTGGAGATTTAACAAACACTGAACACGACTTAAGTAGAGGTCACCATTTCTGCTGATGATCTCACCTCAGTCCCACATCTCAGTGTTTTCAGAAAAACAGCTGTCCATTCCACAGTTCTGAATCTGTAGGACAAGGCCTGTCCATTTTACAACTCAGTGTTTGCAGGCCAAGAACTTTCCCTTCCACGTTTCAGTACTATCAGGTTAAGAGCTCTCCCTTCCATAGCTTTGTTTTTGCAAACCAAAAACTCTTACTTCCACAGATCAGTGTATGAGGGTCAAGAGCTCCCACTCCCACAGTTCAGTGTTTGCAGGTCAAAAGCCCCCACTCCCACAGTTCAGTGTTTGCAGGTCAAAAGCCCCCACTCCCACAGTTCAGTGTTTGCAGGTCAAAAGCCGCCACTCCCACAGTTCAGTGTTTGCAGGTCAAAAGCCCCCACTCCCACAGTTCAGTGTTTGCAGGTCAAAAGCCCCCACTCCCACAGTTCAGTGTTTGCAGGTCAAAAGCCCCCACTCCCACAGTTCAGTGTTTGCAGGTCAAAAGCCCCCACTCCCACAGTTCAGTGTTTGCAGGTCAAAAGCCCCCACTCCCACAGTTCAGTGTTTGCAGGTCAAAGGCTCCCACTCTCACAGCTGTGTGTTTGCAGGTCATTAGCTACCACTCCCACAGCTCAGTGTTTGCAAGCCAAGAACTCTCCCTCCCTGAAATAACAAATAGCAACATTAAAGTTTCAACACTCTTTTCCGTTGCAGTGCAAGACCGTCTTTACCTGATGAGACGCATTCTGAAGCGCTTGGTCCGTCGCAGGCGTCGTGTGGTGGTTCACCTCCTCCTCGGGTGAGTTACTTGGGGCAACTCAACTATATATATGAACAACTCAAGAAATTTTAAGGGTATATTTGGATAATTAAAGTTCATTGTTTTGCGATAATAATCTTTAAATGAATGCAAAAAATAGAATTTGTTTTTAAATAAATCTGTGAGATTGGGAAAGACGAAGTTGAGATGGAATAACAAAATCTAGTTACCAAAAAATAGTCAGCCAAAAAGGGTGAAGGCTTGGGCCGTGCAGTCACACTGTGTTGTGTAGACACGTGTGGCTCCGAAGGCATATGTAGCAGGAAAAAGCTTAGGGCGTGCAGCCAGCTGGAGTTGTGTAGACACATATGGCTCCGGAGGCATATTGGACAGTAGAAGTCTGAAGGCGTGAAGCCACCCGGGGTTGTGTCGTCACATGTGGCTCCGGAGGCATATGTGGCAGGAGAAGGCTTGGGGCGTGCAGCTACTTGGAGTTGTGTCGTCACATGTGGCTCCGGAGGCATATGTGGCAGGAGTAAGCTAGAGGGGTGCAGCCATCCAGGTTTGAGTCGTCACATGTGGCTCTGGGGACATATGGGGCAGGAAAAGGCTGGTCGCGTGCATCCACCCAGGGATGTGCTGTCACATGTGTCTCCTGAGGCATTTGGGGCAGGAGAAGTCTTAAGGCGAGCAGCTACCCGTGGTTGTGTAGTCACATGTGGCTCTGGGGGCATATGGTTCAGGAGCAGGCTTGAGGCGTGCAAACTCCAGGGGATACAAAGTCACATGTGGGTTCAGAGACATATGTGGCAGGAAAAGGCTTGGAGCGTACAGCAACTAGGCGTTGTGTAGTCACATGTTGCTTCAGAGGCATATGTGGCAAGACAAGGCTTGAGGCGTGCAGCCACCAGTGTTTGTGTCATCATATGTGTCTCTGGGACATATGTGGCAGGAAAAGGCTGGTCGCGTGCATCCACCCAGGGTTGTGATGAAGTCACATTTTGCTCCTGAGGCATTTGGAGCAGGAGAAGTCATGGGGCGTGCAGCCCTCCTGGGGATGGGTAGACACATGTCGCACCAGAGGCATATGAGGCAGGAGAAGGCTTCGGGCGTGCAACCACCCGAGGTTGTATAGTCACATTTGGCTCTCGGGGGTATATAGGGCAGGAGAAGGCTTGGGGCGTGCAGCCACCCATTGTTGTATAGTCATATGTGGCTCTGGAGGCGTATAAGGCAGGAGGAGGCTTCAGGCATGCAGCCTCCCGGTGCTGTTTAGTCACATGTATCTTCGAAAGCATATTGGGCTGGAGAAGGCGTGGAGCGTGCAGCCACCCGGTGTTGTGAAGACACATGTTGCTCCAGAGGCATATGGAGCAGGGGAAGTCTTGGAGCGTGCAGCCATCTGGTGTTGTTTAGTCGCATGTGGATTTGGAGGAATATGGGGCAGGAGAAATCTTTGAGCGTGCAGACACCCGGGGTTGTGTAGTCAAATGTGGCTCCGGAGGCATATGTGGCGGGAGAAGGCTTGGGGCGTGCAGCCATCCGGGATTTTGTCGTCACATTTGGCGCTGGAGACCTATGGGGCAGGAAAAGGTTTCGAAGGTGCAGCCACCCGGGATTGTGTCGTCAAATGTGGCTCCGGAGGCATATAGGGCAGAAGGCTCGGTAACTGTTCAGGTTTCGCTCCGACATAATTTTAACAAAATGTGTGCAATTATACGACGTTGTTAGCTTCAATTCAACGAGCTTCCTGACCAACAGTAAACTCTCGAAGCTTCTTAATAAGAATGTTTTATGACACCATTAAATTACGGGACGGGTATATTTTTTCAGTGTGTTCATAGTGTGTGTGATGGTGGAGTGGTGCAGGGAGACGAGGACGACACTTCTGGCCAGTGACATTTCGACGACAGATGACGACCTTCTCCTAGATAGGGATACTAGCGTCTTGTCAGACCTGGACCATCAGCTGCTGTCCGACCTCGACCCTCACCAACTGTCAGATGTCACTCCGCATTTACAACCAGGTGTGGATCCTGATCTCCCAGTAGAAGACCCCTCAGGTGTACTACCAGGTGTGGATCCTGATCTCCTGGCAGAAGACCCCTCATGTTTACTGCCAGGTGTGGATCCTGATCTCCCGGTAGAAGACCCCTCAGGTGTACTGCCAGGTGTGCATCCTGATCTCCCGGTATAAGTCCCCCCAGGTTTACTGCCATATGTGGATCCTGATTTCCCGGTAGAAGACCCTTCAGGTTTACTGTCAGGTGTGGATCCTGGTCTCCCGGTAGAAGACCCCTCAGGTTTACTGTCAGGTGTGGATCCTGGTCTCCCGGTAGAAGACCCCTCAGGTTTACTGTCAGGTGTGGATCCTGGTCTCCCGGTAGAAGACCCCTCAGGTTTACTGTCAGGTGTGGATCCTGGTCTCCCGGTAGAAGACCCTTCAGGTTTACTGTCAGGTGTGGATCCTGGTCTCCCGGTAGAAGACCCTTCAGGTTTACTGTCAGGTGTGGATCCTGGTCTCCCGGTAGAAGACCCCTCAGGTTTACTGTCAGGTGTGGATCCTGGTCTCCCGGTAGAAGACCCCTCAGGTTTACTGTCAGGTGTGGATCCTGGTCTCCCGGTAGAAGACCCCTCAGGTTTACTGTCAGGTGTGGATCCTGGTCTCCCGGTAGAAGACCCCTCAGGTTTACTGTCAGGTGTGGATCCTGGTCTCCCGGTAGAAGACCCTTCAGGTTTACTACCAGATGTAAGTATTTCTTCTGCAGGGATTGGGTTTCTGTGATTATTTTGTTGATTTGCAGATGTGGTTGGTGGCTTTAAAGACGAATTCTTCGCACCGGCGCTGGACGCCTTCCGGGCGGCTTCTGATGGGTCTTACCCAGTGCTGTCTCAAAGGTACTTTTCTTGGCTTATTTTTCATTCGCTGACAGAATAGATGATGTTAAATCGAAGACGCGAGCAGAGGAGTTGTGAAGTGCATGTTTTTCCTGATGTTTCAAATGAACTAACATATAAGGAAGATGAAATGGGTAATATTCTAAACGAGTATTTGATATCAGCCTTTACTAGATATGCAGTGTCTGCATATTGATTTAATTAATATGCAGACACTTTATTAAACGCATCAATGTATTGAGAGAGACAAGATAATTATTAGTTACTAAGAAAATAAGTTAGTAACTAAATATAAAAACAAAAGCCAAGCAAGTCCACGGACCACTGGCCCACTAACCCAAAGTTCTGGAGAGTTGGGAATATTATCCCTGTTGCTAAAGAGTTGGATAGATTGGCATCATCCTACATACCCAATTAATATAACGTCACTTATTGAGAAACTACTTAACGTGATAGAAGCAAATCTCATTTATATTCAGCGCAAAATGTGTATATTAATAAAAGATTCACGACATGGCATTGGCCTGACGGCTGAGTGGGCAGCGCTTGGGATTCGTAGTCCTAAGTTTCCGGGCTCTATTCCCCGGCGAACACGGCAACAAATGGGCAGAATTTATTTCTACCTGATGCCCTTGTTCACCTAGCAGTAAATAGGTACCTGGCAGGTAGACAGCTGCTACGGGCTGCTTCCTGGGGATGTATAACATAAAGAAGGCCTGGTCGAGGACCGGGCCGCGGGGACTCTAAGCCCCGAAATCTTCTCAAGATAACATCTCAAGATGGCTTAAAAGGATAACCATGATTATATAGCAATAACAGCAAACGATGATAATTACATTGCTTTATATGCTAACACTGTTCCACACCAAACATTGATTTGGAAGATTGAGAAACAAGATATCGGAGAAGGCATCGTAAACTTGATCAGGTCATGATAATAACATAGAACATAAGGCCAACGGAATACAATCTAAAGGATAGACTGAAGAAGGCATGATTGATCAAATTCATGTAAGGACAAAGCTATTCCTCTCATGTGATCACCATTTTTAAAATTGGCTACAAATATAGAAACCCACATAAAGGTCCATGATGATGAATTTATAGATTGTCATCGATGAGACCCAAGGAATGAGAGAGGAACTGAAAAAGATCTCCTGGAGGACACTGATAGGTGAACATGACATGGAACCACATGGCAAAACTACAAGGTCATCACAGAACTCCTTTAAAAAAGTGACAAAAAGGAGAAAAGAAAGAAAGGGAACTAGATGTATGACTCAGGTGTCATGGGTTGTGTCAAAGAATTTTATCATAGTTATGTCTCAGAGGCCTGTCAAGAATTCGGTGGTGATGGACCTTTAAATGTTGTTTAGGGGAATAGATAATTTTACTTGAGCCTATGGAAAATCAAGGAGTAAGGAAAACAGCCTAGTACAAAGACACAAATTTATATGCATAAGACCCTTGATAATATATATTCAACAATTTGAATTTCTTACAACTTAAGGTCATGCTGTAGTAATATAACCCCCAAGTGGGCTCTGGCTACCCTATGGCTCACAATGCAAAACCTGGAACCTTGCACACAGCCACCACACCTACCAACTGATGACACACATATATGAAACCTCTAGGAAACCTGGATTCTCACTATTAAAACATCACCAAAGATTGCATTACTACTCTACCCTATCTTGCAACCGTGATAATAAGTAATGATGGCTTATCTGACTGTACAGCCGGAGGAAAACCCTCAGCAAGCAAGGTCTGGTCGCCAACGAATCCGCCTCCCCTCAAGTCAAGATGGCGTCCACCTCTCTTGCGTCATCGCCCCTTAATACTCTATTCTTTACATTTACACTCAAACCTTTATTGACTTTATTTACCATATTCCCTATGCACGCTTTTTGATTGAGTCCATTTTTCCCTCACGTAGTTAGGCTATTCCAGTTCACATTATTCCTAAAAATCTCCAGCTGAGAAGACTTTACTGGGCGGAGTATTACTGTTGCCTCGCGGCCTCCCTGATATCAGCTGTAGATTTATTCTAATAAACATTCTCCACTGTATCCACCAACATTTTATAATTGAAACTAACCTCCACAGGAGGTAAGGTTCGTAACATCAGGCGATAAAACAAGCATTGATAACTAAGCGAAACCTCTGGAGAACGTATAAATCCATGATGGACATCATTGACTATGAGATATATATAAAAAGACAATAGACTCAACCACCCAGAAAATCAGATCAGCCAAAAGACTTTATACTTTATGAAAGAAAACTTGCCCATAACAACTTGCCCAAAACATAAAGAAAGATCCAAAATTGTTCTATGCCTATATATGAAGTAAAACCAAACAAAGGAATCGGTAGGACTCTTAAAGGATGCAACTAACCATAGACGATAAAACGGCAGCAAGCACTCTAAATGAATATTTTACATCAGTGTTCACACTAGAGAGGTTAGATGACATCCCAACACCCACACAAATGTTTGAAGGAGGTGACGAGAATGAATTAAGGGATATAACCATGACATGCCGCATAATCAGGAGCATTGACAAACTAAAAGACTCAAAATCCACAGGTATGGAGGGAGTCCAATCCAAAGTCATAAAGGAACGGGCAGAATTGCTTTTCGCTAAGTCTCTGGACCAAGGGATAGTCCCCCTAAATTGGAAATATGCAAATGTTATTCCTATTTTCAAAAAAGGCAGAAAGAGCTCAGCGGAAAACTACCGATTTTCGATCAGCCTAACATCACACATCTGCAAGCTCATGGAGAGATTCATAAGGGAGGAAATCATTTACAATCTTTCAGTGTGCCATCTTGTAAAATCGTCAAAACTTGGGTTTCTTAAAAATAGATCCTGCCTTGTAAACCTGCTCACATTTTGGAAACGGTAACCAGCTACTCAGACAAAGGATTTCTGGTGGCTGTAGTGGCTTTCTGTGTGGCTTTATCGATTATGCTAAAACCTTTAATACGGTACCACATGAAAGACTGGTGAGTAAATTACAGGCACATGGAAAAAATGGTAGAATATTAGAATGGATAAAACAAAGAGAATAAAGAGTCGTGCTAAACGGGAATGAATCTGACTAGAGAAATCTGGTAAGTGGAGTACCACAGGGGATCCATTTTGGGGCCAACCGTTTTTGTCCTATACCTCAAGGACAATGACAATATTACAAACCACATCATCAAATTTCCAGACATAATAAAGAATTATAGTAAAGAGAGAAATGATAATGATATTGAAGCCTTACAATATGAACTCCAGAGATGGCCAGAAACTGGCAAATGCTTTTTAATATTGACAAATGCAAGATCTTGCATGTGAGGCATAGCAACCCACGCCACAACTACCAAAATAATAACACTTCCTTGCAACAGATTGACAAAGAAAGGACCTGGTAGTCAAAATCCACTACTCACTGAAAGTTGCACAACAGGTTAGAGCAGCAGTTAAAAAAGCTTACAGAACTCTAGGAATAATCGAGCGTACCTTTTACTTGACGAAAAAGAAGGTAGTGATTCAAATATATAAATCTCTGGTGGGCAGTTATTTGGATTACTGTATCCAGGCATGGAGACCTCATCTTTAGATGGACATTGCTGATGTGAAGAAAGTTCATCACCGGGAAACAAAAGCATTATAAAGCTGAGTCAACTCGCGTATCAGGAAAGGTTTAGAGCCACAGGGCTAACAACACTGCAAACCAGGAATGACAGGCAGATCTCACTGTAACCTTTAAAAAACGGTACAATTAGGAGTATGTCCACTCGGACAATTTCTTCTAAAGGTCATATATATAACAAACAAGGAGCAAAGGTGTCATGCTCAACAAGCCACAATGTAGGGCCGCAAAACCCATAAATGCCAAAACTATTAAATTTTAAAGTTTAACTGGAAAAGATCATGAAAACAAATTGAGGGGGGGACCTACGACAAGTCACCGGCTTCCTTTCCTCGTTGAGGCTACTAGTGATAGTGGCCTTCAGGTAAATTCAGGTAAATCTAAAAAAACTTGGATTGATCATGTATTCTTTACATGTTTTACAAAGAGACCATTATATTTAACAGGTTTCCTCTCGTAATTTTTCAGTATTTTTCATACAACGGACAGGGAAAATAATTAAAACACCGCACCTGGACTTCAGGAAAGCCACGTGAGACAGTTGAAAATTAGAGGAGCGTGATATCGGGAGGGCGATATCCTAGGTTTGGTTGAAGTTGACTCAAAGAAAGAAGAGAGTTAGAATGAATGGAGTTGAATCACAGTAGGAAACCGCTGTGAGTGGAGTACTCCAGACTTTTCTACCGAGACAGTTGATGCGTATCATATATAAACGGTTTAGAAATACTAGTGAAAAGTTACTTTTGCAGAATTGCATCTGTTACATTAATAGGGCGGGAAGTAAATCTAGATGAAAAAATATATCGCTACTACACGATGCCGAGCGCCTTTAAGGGGGCGTTATTCGGGTATTCTAAAGATGTTGTTTAGTGTCAACCATTATTTTTGACTAGTTGTATATGAAAAGGGCTACAATTGTTCGAAGATTCAGTACTGTAGCCTAAATAGTAAGGGAGATTTTTCATTTTTTTTTTTTTCAACGAATTTTACACATTTTCAAGTGTAAATTTACAACCACACCTTTCAGATATAATCATTCTATGACACTTTTCTGACACATTAACATATAATAAAGGATCCCTTGCAAAAGATTTTCCAAGACATCTTTCGTTTTCCTAATACAAATAGTCTAAGTACCCCCCCCAAAATTATGCAAATATATCATGTTTATTGCTATTATAAAGTCAATAAAGAACTCAAGATAAAAACACTTGCTAACGATTTTAGAGACATAAAATTTATATATAATGTGTAAGTTTCATGTAAATTGCATAAAAAATGAAAGAGATATTCATTTTCAAGTAACATAAACTTTGAAGTAAGTAAAAAATAAAGTCTAAGGTGTTGCCCTC